ATGACCCGCTCAACAAGCGCTTTGGCGATGATTGGGCGCGTCTCACCAGAGATCTCCTGTTCGACAGTGAGGGTAGTCTCAAATTCAAGCCCGACCTTTGGATGGACATTCGCAAGGTTATACTCCCGTCCATCGTAGACATGGTACGTGCTGTGATTCATCGCATCATCGGAACTAATGCATGCATTGTCATAGGTTGGCTACATTCCTATTCCACGCATCGAGTATACGGACGATTCTTTGGATCTCGTCGTGGAGAACCTCACGCTTCAAGGACGCAACCTTTTCCCAAACATCGTGTCCATAGAAGCGCACAACTTCATGAAGTTCTCGCCTTATAACACGATCAGCGACGTTAGCCATCACGAGTTTACCCTTACCTTCGGGCAGATACAGGCGGACATGCGGGACGTCGCTTTTTACTTCCGCAAGAAGACTGGCATTCCAAAGATGACCGACTCCGGTCTTGCTGACGTTCTTCTCGGCGGACAAGGCGTTACTGTTCGTATACAATCAGTCCCGCTTCGTTCGTTTGCTCACAGCCTTCTAGGCTACTGTCCATCTCGTCTCGGCGGATAAAGACAAGTCGTCGGTCTTCAAAGTGAAGAACGTGAATGTCAAAGTTGATTCGCTCAAGTTCTCTATCCGCGATTCGAAGCACGACATCCTCTACAAGACTGTCCGTCCGCTTGCCACCGGTCTTATCAAGAAACAGATCCAAAAGGCTGTCGCAGATGCCATCACGACTGGCATGGAATACGTCGACGGCCAACTCGTCGGCGTGCGCGATCGCATGAGCGAAGCACGCAAATCCCCTGACGGCTCGCGCACGGACGCTCTCCGTGCTGCGTTCCAGCGTCAGAAGGAAGATGCGGCCGAGACTGTCAGCTCGAAGAGCAGTGAGCGCAAGAGCCAGTTCAAGATGGTTGCGAAGCGCGATTCCGCACTCATGCCCCAGCACGGCCATCCTGGTGGTTGGGCAAGCAAGGCCCAGGAGCGTGCCGATGTCGCTACCAAGGGCGAAGATTGGCGTTCTGACGCGTAAGTGCCTTCCCTCGTCTCCATTTCCTGTTGATGGTGACAACGTCTCGCAGATTCACGATTGTTTAATGTCGTCTGTTGGATGATCTATGATTACGATTCGACACGATTCGACACGTCTACGCAGCAGCGAGTGTTTCTTTCGGACCTAATTCTCACATGTAGCGTACATGTAATATAGTCGCGAGAAGTATGACCGTCGGGGGCAGCTGCCTCGACTCGCTCCGGTGTGGTTCACCGAGGATGTTACTTTCTCTTCCATACGTTAAATATAATCAGCTAGCTGTGTTTGATACCACCAGAGCGGGAACGATCAGTGAGAATAGGCGATGCGCGAGCGTTCCAGCTGATACGATGTATCTTCGTAAACCTCTTCAACGGGAGAAGCGGGCTATCAACGCATCTCTAGTCCGTCCTTATCTTCTCCGGCATCGATAGACACCCTACGTTGCCGGGGGAAGACAGGACAGTCTGCATAATGTTGACAACTCGAATCTTCGCGACGCTCGCGCTTCCGATCTGACTGCATGCGTCACGTCCGTGATATTCCATGATCCCTCACATGCACCGGGCGTCCCTTGAATCCGGAGATGCCAGGTAAGGGGACGTCCACCGTTTTTTTCGATTTCTGTGCCGCATTTCGGTGGCTGGGTGGTGGGAGCTGGGAAGCCACTGGGAAGCCACCAGTGGCGAGATGCGGGCCGGGCCTCTGGAGGCGACGGACTACTTATATTTTGCCATTATCTCTATCTCATACATGTATAGATAGATCGCTCAAAAACGGACTCTCAAGGCGCTATAGCCAAGTGGTTACGGCGACAGATTAGAAATCTGTTTCCCTTTGGGAGCGCAGGTTCGAGTCCTGCTGGCGTCGGATATAATTTTCCTGCTGTGGCCGAGTTATCCATTCGGCCCTCATTTTCAAGAGAGCCTGAGGGTTTGCTCGTGGTCAGCCGAGGCGCGTAGAACCGTGGATATTGTTTACCTCACATAGCTCTACATAAGTCTCAGTTTGATAGCTAATCCGAAACCTCGACTGGATTCGTTTATGCTACTATACAACACCACTTTCCCTCACAGGTGCAACATGCTTTCGATGCGCTGAACCGGTACTTGCTCCTTCACGTACTTGTCAAACCAGCTGACGATCCCGTTTGCACTCGCCTCCTTCACCCAGCGCTGCATCGGCACGTTCGGGTCACCGCGCGTGCCGAAGCCGTGCGGCGCGCCCGCGAACACCTGGAGGTGGTGCGGTGTGCCTTTTTCGAGGAGAATCTCCTCTGCGCGGTGGCGCGACGCTCGGGGAAACAGGAAGTCGTCTGGAGGAGGCATATGTAAGGAACGAACGTAGAGCATGCGCCTAGGTTACGCACCGTTGCTCGAGATAAAGACGGGTTCTGTAATATAGATAGGAACGTAAGCATAGTGGGGACGGGCTGACATGAAGGATAGACTGACTGATGGCATTCTTGAAGTGACTCTCGTTCAAGCCGGTAGGGTGGACGATAGCAACTACGAAAAGACGCATTGGGTTGGTGCATATATGGCCTGTTTCAGACTGCGGCTCACCTGCTTTGACCTCCTCCGTGGCGGCGAGGAGCAGGGTGTCAGGTGCACCGAAGCAATATCCTGCATATTGTCGTGAGAAGGCATTAGGTATGATGTATGCAGAAACTACGTACCGGCTGCAGCGTAGGCTGCATCGGACGTTCCTGAATGAACAAGTCTCATGATTTCGCGCCGGAAATAAGAATAGCGACAATGCATACCGAACTTCACCTTGGCCGCCTCGAACCAAATCGGCACAAGCTCGAACGCGCGGATGCGCTTGGGCGCCATCCATTTGAGGATATCAAGCTGGGGATCCTTCTCCATCTGCTTATGCAGGAGCTCACCCTCGAAGTAGTCGGGCGAGATGACCAGGTAGCCTGCAGCATGTTAGACACGAAATCATGGGATACAAACCAACTCACCCTGCGAGGCGTACTGGTCGATCAGGAGCTGGTTGTTGATATGCAGAGGGCTGAATACATCCGAGAAGTACAGAATGATGTGCTTGTATTTCTCCTGCCTTTCGCCAGGCGGATACGAGACGTAGGTCTGCAAGTTTCCAACGTGCTGTACTTCTCCCCTGGCTTCCCCTGTGTGGATGAAGCCGCGCACGCAGCATTCCTGAGGAGGGCCGGCAAGAACAGGGTCATGAGAGTGAGTCATTGCCAATTCTCGTGCAGCAAGGGGCAGAGCAGAGTAGAGAAGGTATGTTGGGTTGGCGACAAGAACGGCTGATAGGGAGGTTGCATCTTAAATATACGTCGAAGAGGCGACGCGTCATCAGGAGCACCCAAGTCGTAGGTCCGCAACTGAAGCCCATCCTTGTACATGATTGCCAAAGGAGAGTTGGCGGAAGTTGGGCGGCAGCCCTGGGTCCTATTGATGGTGAGTGAGAGAAATGATATTGGTACGTAAGCGGCACATTGGGCGCCGCGATGTTTGAGCTTGGTCAGTCATTTGGCGCCGTTCAAAACGTCGGGCACGGCATCGGCGAGCGATTGCTAGCCGACTCCTCGCCCGAGGCACTGCGGCCAACTGCGGCACCCCTCGCCGCCCACCATGAACAACACGCATGCAACCGTATCAATAGACATAGTCAGCCTGCTCTCCCGGCGCCGGATTATAGTTGGCTGACGCAGCAGACAGGTTCTCGATCGCCAAAACACCCGCGAGATCCTCCGCGCATTGCTGCACGCCATTCTCTTTCACCGCCTCTTCGGTACCATCAAGCCGCAGACATTTGAAGTCCTCGACGTCACCATGGTGCGTGCCCCGTTTCTATTACGCTCATATTTCCCTGTTGACTAGATCAAATAGCCGGGTGTCGCGGATCCGGCAATGGAGCGCTTGGTCGAAGACAAAGTGGACACTTTCTGGAAGGGCCTTGAGAACGTCCCACAGAAGCGGGGCCAGGTTCGTCAGCAGTTACATCCTGCACCCGAGCGCGAGTTCACATGTGGCCATTCAGATCTCCGTCACCCTCTCGAGAAAGGACCAGAAGAAGGCGTGGCTTGGTATTACTACGTACGAGGTAAGTCTCTCTGCCAATCGAGGGTCTCCAACGCATTGATCCTGATCATTACGCCCTGCAGGAGGAAGTTGCGTGGGAGCAATGGTGCGCCTCTCATGACTGCACCCATCAGCTCGCACATTACCAATGAGTCCCTCCGTGAATCAGGATTATCAACGCTGAGATCCGTCAGCCTAAGTCTGAACAAGGTACGGGCGCGCCTCCTGTCCGTATGCATGGGCTTCTGACCCCGGACTCCTCGCAGAGCGTCAACAGTTCAACCAGAACCTCGCTGCAACCCTGTCGAAGAGCCTGCGCACGATGCTCACGCACACGTCCTCCGAGCAGGGTCGTGGCGCTGTTCCCCCAATTACCAACGCTGAAGTCTCCCCTTTCCCGCTCAAGATTTCGGTGCGGGTAGGGGACGTCGAGCTTGGCTAGACACAGGCACAAGATTTACAATCGTAGAATGGGCATCTTCCCAAGACCATCCACCCGCCGCCAAGGAGCCTGACGATTGAGGCCCCTAGAATACTCCATAGACTCGGATGTCGAACGCACGCTCGCGTGCCAACCCTTGTGTTCCCACAGCTAAGCAACTCTGGACCTTGCCCACCAACACGGTGGACACTTGTACACTCACATAATCTAGCCGGTTTCATTTAAGGGTACTATCTATACACACCGCACTACAACCCTCGCAAGGCCCCTTCTGTCTCTGTTGGCACACAGCTGCACAGGGTACCTCATACCGCATATTGTACTTTCCCTGAAATGTAGCAATTGCATCTACTCCAATATCAGCAGCGTCTGTTTCGAATTGGAATGAACCTCACCGGTGTTTTCTTTTCAAGCCTGCCCTCATTCTGCTCCGAGAATATAGGACTTCGACGATCAAGGCACTATAGCCAAGTGGTTACGGCGACAGATTCGAACCGTGTTGATACGCAAACTTATCTGTTTCCCTTTGGGAGCGCAGGTTCAAATCCTGCTGGTGTCGTTTTGGTGCGGTGTTTTCTTCGTGTGGCAACCCCAGCAGTGCCTGGCAGACCGCTCTCCCAGTCATGATCTGCATTCTGTGAGATTTTCAGACTTCGAAATCGTGTAGACCATAAAAATCAACCTCGTCGTAACATATCGTAAGGTAACTTATAGACAGACAGACGAAGTGGCGAACTATTCCAACTGTATACGGTCGAAGTCTGAGTTAGGGCTGGGTAACCGCCCTCTGGTCAAGGATATGCGACTCCTGCTTCCTTCATCAGGTCTGCAACTTCGACGTCTGAAATGATGGTCATGAGCGTAAGTGTGCTGTCATCCAAAGAGCAGAGCGACACCCGTTGACGTACGATCCTCTGTGTGCTTCATGCGGGATGAATACGAGCACGTCGTGCCTGCCAATAGGTTCACATCAGCTCATTCTACGGCACAGAGCCGAAGACTATACGCACCAGGTCCGAAGACAAAGTCACCGCCAAGCTGCGAGATGTTGCCCTGTTTCCCAATGTGCGAGGGGTTCTTCAAGGGTCCCCGCTGCACAAAAGAGTGTTCTTCAGGAGGGATGCGCCAGCGAGAAGATTATGTCCATACCCGGATGCTGTAAAGGGTGATGCTGAGCAGTCCTCGCTTGATGTAGCTACGTTTCTCCTCGCCGCCCGGCGTGCTTTTGAGGTTCGAGATCATGCCAAGTGTGTCGTACAGCTTGCGGTCCGGGTTCGCATAAATATCGCCCTTGAATTCGGTGTCGTCTGCGTGAAAGCGCATTAGTGACACTGCAGTGCGAATGACGAGGATGGTGAGAATACTCTTGTAGTTCCCGATCAACTTCCAGTCACCACATCCGACGAGGATAATCTTCGTCCCTGCTTCCTTGAGAGCCTCTTCGCGGATGGTGGTGAGCTGGGCGACATATTGCTGTAGCGCATACGACGTTGACTTGTGTTGAATCATATCATGCAGATAGGGCATACCATGCAGTTCTGTAATCCGCGCAGAGGGGCATTAAGTGAGCATAGTCGCGTGAGTGTGTATCTGAGACTACATTACCCCGCAGAAGAAGTGCCCTGTCGAGTGTGCATGGGATCTTAGTAACGAACGATTGTCTTGGGCTCAGGGCTCGACGGTGCACGCACGAATGAACACAACGATAGTCTTCTGCGTAGCAAATATGTCCCCGAAGCGGATCTTCTCGCCCTTAATATCGAACACCTGAACGTCCGCAGCCGTTTCTAGGGTCTTGGCGTCGATTGTGGGTGCGCTCTGTTCGGTGGACATGATGGTAGAGAGGAAGGAAGCGTGACCGTAGTGGGTGAGAGCTGGAGTGTATACATGGGAGTTGCCAATTGCGAACCACGGACGTGCGAATCATGCGATGCACTGCAGGACTCGGAGTGCCTGTCAACTCGTCGGGGTTATCGACGATCTCGGCCATCTCGGCCATCTCGACTAATGAACCTGACCTTATTTGCTGTGTCCTGATGACTTAGTATCTGGCTGCTTGGCCGACGAGTAACATAGGCGAGAGAGCGGGACAGTACGTTGCGCATGTCAGGAAGCTGGCTGAGCACAACCGCCATACGGATAACGTGCCAATGGACCAATCACGTCATGTAGAATACATGTACTTCCGGCATCGTGTTTATACAGTCCAGCTGAGACTTGGTGCGTCCACATCGCAAGGCTTTCCTCATCGCAAAATGTTCAACGCTCTGCCTTAGCTCGCTGCTTAGGCAAAACCTGTGCCTCTGTACCAACAGCTGCATGCAATGCTGTCGTGTCCGGGTCATCCGGCCTACTTCAAAAGTATCATTGAAGGTCCGGCTCCAAAACTATAATGTCCTCGGTGCCGACGAACTGTGGCAGAATGCCGGGAATATGTACGATTGTGAAGAGCTGGACGTGATGGGTTACGCAGAGGTAGCGGCGTGCCTACGGTTGGAGAGGTGGCAGCGACAGTACGTGTGGGGCCGAGGAAGATGCTGCGCAGCCATAAGGCGTTAACACTGACGAAGGCGGGGAAGAGCAGCGGTGATATTGAAAGGTATGGATATAGATGTCACATCTGAGAGCCCGGCGAGCTGCTGAGAGACTGAGCGAGAAGGACGTAGATAGCATGGGAGGGAGCAAGGCGGGAGTGTCTTGTGCATGTGATTCCTGGTGATGTGTGCTGGGACTGCCTCGAGCAAGAGACGAGGCTGAATGCATCTTTGAATGTGGATTTTAAGTGTGACGTTGTGCATGTCCTAGTTGGCTCATAAAGTGCGCAGATTTTGGTTAAACGTCGAAAGATAGTCGTTGGCAGTAGAAGATGTATCGTGCCAGAGATCGACCTAGGCCAGTAGCCGGACCCAGGGCTGGGGTTAGGGGCTCGGAGGCATTTCACGTGCCCCGCAGCAAGCAGGGGTCCGATCTCCCCGCCGTGCTATGTATTCGTACCACTGGAAAGGGTCCGCGAGTCCACCGTGCTAGCTACTCATCATGTCGCAGTCGCTGCTCGACGCCGATGAAAAGCTCTGGAGACCCGACCCGGCTGATGGCTCAGGCCCTCCCAAGAAGGAGCACGTACCAGATGTTCTGCAGCGCGCGACCCTGCGCCTTGGTTTCCCGCCATCATACGTTGTCGTCGGCGCGTACCGCCTCCTGTCGGACAAGGCTCTCTTCGTCCCCGTCTGGCAGAAGTGCCGCAACGGGGCGATTCGGGGCGCTACCGTTGGCGGCATCTGGGTGTGTGGCTACCCACTAGCTCGCACGACACCTCCTGAACGCTGACTTTCACTGCTACGCAGTCGCTCTTGACGTTTTCGATTCAGCGAGGGCTGGTTCGCACATTTTGGACGAAGTAATTTTACTCGTTTGCTTGTCGTGGGTCTGCCAGTTCATAACTCGATTTCTAGCTCCCCGAATGTCATTGGCCATGCGAATGACACCATCCTAGGATACAAGCCCCCCTTCGACATACCTACCTGTAGGCCCGCGCGCTCATCATTCTACCTCCCCAACTCTGACTATCTTCTCAGGGGCCACGGTCGTTTTTCTGTCATCGCAGCTTACTTATATCCTCATCTTCTTTCTCTCGCGCAACCTTCGCATAGCGCGAGAGCGCGCATGGGAGCAGACAATTACCTCTCGTGGCAAAGGCCCTACCTTCTGGCAACCATACGTTGAGGAGTGGGACGTCCCGCCCAAGGTTGACGCAGACCAGTGGGCCGGCGTTGCGGTGGCGAAAGGCAGGGTGCTCAGGTTCGCCATCAAGCGCGGTGAGGCGACATCTGACTCGTAGCTCGCACGGGTGGCCACTGACGATTTGGCCATGCGATTGCTGGAACAGTCCTCCTGCTCCCGCTGCATGTCGTTCCTGTTGCTGGATTGTTTGTCGCAGCGGGGTTCAAGGCTCTGGACACGGCGCGGTACCTCCACAAGCCTGTGTGTACCCCTTCCAAAGTGACTCCAGGACGTGTGCTCATGCCTTTCTTCAGTATTTCCAAGCGAAGAAGATGACGAAGGAGCAAATTGCAGTATTCATCGCGGAACATAAATGGGACTATTGGCGTGAGTATCACGCTGCAATGGGAGACGTGTCAACCTGCATTAATTGCCCTTATCATCTAGTATTCGGCTTCGCTGCTGCGTTGTTGGAGAGTCTCCCCTTTATCGGCCTGGTTTTCTCGGTATCGAACCGAGTAGGGGCTGCCATGTGGGCCCACGGTGCGCATATATACATGTTCATTGATTCATCTTGGAATGCTGAATTCTTCGCAGACCTAGAGAAGAGGCAGCATTGGATTGCCGAGGAGAAGAGAAAGACGTCATAAGGGTTGGATGACGTTATTTTTCGCTCCAGGACTGCGTCTGCCTACGTTTGTACGACGCGTTGAGATATTGGCCTGTCTGTTTTGTTTGCTCTTCATTGTTTCGTCCGGCTGTATTCAAATACTCATTGCGATAGAACATTGATGCATCTGATGTCCGACGTCGAATATGTGCAACTACAAGGACAATCGAGTAAGATTAAGCACGACCAGGTCATGCAAGTCATTAGATTACATCGAGTCAAACAATACCATCGCTAGATGACAAGGGGCGTGGCGAGCGCACCTAACACTCCTCTTTCTCCAACTCTTCCTCTTCCACCAATACTCTTATTTCAACATCGAGGTCTGCAACCGTGTTTTGTCCCGTGCTGGGAATTACACCTGGAGTCGACGCAAACACAAGCCCACCGGGGAGCATCTCTGCCAGCCGCGCGGCATCCGCCGCACGCATCCCGGCGCGTTCCGAATCGGGCAGGATGATCTTCGACAAAGGCAGGCCGAGCTTACGCCTGTGCTCCGCCAGCTCGAGTGCGTCGCGTGCACTGTCTAGAGCGACAACGCGGAGATTGGGGCAAAATCGCGGCGCGGGCGCCGCGCCGTCCCATTTCTGTGCCTGCGCACGCGGCGCGTAGCCTGGGTCGTGCCGGAGCATCTGTAGCAACGCGGGAGCGCAGTCCTCGAGCACGAGCACGCGCAGCGCGCCGAGCGCGTCGAGTAGCGCGCGCGTTGCATCGTGGAAGTCCCAGCGAGAGTGGCGGATGCGCAGCGCATGGAGGCCGCCCACGCGCGGCGCGAGGCGCCGCACGACTTGCCCAACGAAGCCCTCGTGGAAGAGCACATCTTCTACGAGCATGTTGAGCTTGATGTCGAGCGTCAGAAGCGCTGGCATTGTGGTGCGCTCGAGCACGATGATCATTTCGTAATAGGAGAGTCCATGCAACGTCAGGTGGCGCAGTGCCGGGGCTGGCTGTATCTTCGCACGCGAGGTGTTGTCCGTATTGGCCAATGCGGGCCCGGAAGAGATGAGTGTGAGAGTATGAAGGTCCGGGCACCTCTCAAGGATGCCGAGGAACGCCTGTGGTGAAGGGCGGCAGGAGAGATGGTGATACGCCATGCGCAGCTCGTAAAGGTCGGAGAGGAATGTGGAGTTCCAGTCTGCACCATAGACCTCGAGGTCCAGAATGCGGAG